GCTTACACCAATGTACACATACATGCATATATGTGCACGCACACACGTATGTATATTTACAATGCATGTGTTTTCTAGCTCTGTCCGCTGAAAGGGCTTAACTTCCCACAGTTTGCCCCCCCCCAGTAGCAATGAACAAAAACAGTCTAGTAGTAATAAGCACACCCAACACCCAAATCCTGGTCTCTATAACATTACCACTGAAAGAAACAAGAGCTCTTCAGAGAAATGGCTGTGGCAGGTTAGATGTAAGACAAGCCTGCAGCACCTTATTATGTCAGAAAGTGAGGAAGTCCTCAAAAAATATATGGGGCATGTCACAAGGGCACAGGCTCCAGCTCAGAAGGGCTCCCACTTGTCAAATCAAGGGACAGTTTGAGCATCAAAATAATTAATTAGAGATAGTAATGAATATAAGCCATTGAAGAAATGGGAACCGAGGAATCCATACCATAAGTAAATATGTAAGTTAGTGGGGAAGAATGCAAAGTGAAAACTGATAAATGTGGAAAGAAGGGTGGAGTTGGAATGCCATCCATTTGCAACCATCATAGTAAAGGTAATATAGACAGGAACCCTCAATGGATACTAAATCTGAGGGGAAATTTTAATCAGGAGTTGTATATTTGCATGGTTTTAAATTGCCTCCTCAGTTGCTTACTAGTTGCAAAGGAAAACATAATACCTAGACAGGGAGGAATCAGACAACCTCTTGACTGATCAAAATAATACCACCAATGAGACACAAACAGTGTATACCTCCAGATGTGATCCCCTGAGGAGTACACAGCATCACTGAAATAGTATTCTGGCCAGAAATGCCAGTCTTAAATCTTATTATGAGAAAGCACCAGAAAAAAAACAAAACTGCATAGGGAAAAGGAGGTAGGGGACCATATTCTTCAAAAATACCAATATAAGAAAAGCTGTGGGAATAGTCCAGATTAAAGGAGACTGAAGAAACCACTAGATGTAATACCTAATCCTAAACTATGTGATGTAGTAGAGCAAAACAAAAACAAAAGTCTGCATACAGGACATTTTTGAATCAATCTCTAAAATTAGAATACAGACTGTATCAGTATTAACTTTTCTGCAGTTGAAAACTATGATGATTATGTAAAAGAATATCCCTAATACTTAGGAATGCTGAAGTATTTGGGAATAAAGGGCCACGGTACATACAGTTTGCTTTTAAGAGACTCGGAAAAGAAAGATCTTGTGTGCCCATGTGTGTACAGAGAGAAAGAGCACACAAAGGCTAGAGCATATGGTGTGAAATGTTGGTAATGGATGGATGTGGGAGGAAGGCATATGATGTTCTTTATGCTTATTCTTGCAACTTCGTAACAAGTTTGAAATTATTTCCAAATGAAAAATTTCACAAGTTAAAAAGAATGGGATCTTTCATGATGACCGAATGTTTTGCATCCTTGAGCTGAGATCTAACAAGGCCATTGTTTGCAGAGACCCAGGCTGCAAGGGGCTGGTTCACCTTCGCAAGTCAGTTTGGAATCAAAGTGCCATGTTGACCAACAGGCCTGCTGCATCTCTTGGCCTCCTAACACTGTTCCGTGGAATCTGGTGGAACCGTGCCCTGTGCAGCTAACTTGGTTCGGTAGTGCCCAGACTCTAGTCTATGTCCATCTGTCTCAGAGGAAGCTGTAACATCTGGGCACCGGCCCCCGAAAGGACTATGGAAAGCAACACAGACCCAGAGTGTGATCGACAGGCTTGGACTGGTTGAGCTTAATAGAGTTGTGTAGTTTCATGCTCAGAGTGGGAGCAATTAGGTAGCTTGTCATCCCAGAGCTTTTAGGCTCCTTACTGGCATTGAGAGACTTTGGCCAGATGATAAAAATAGAAAACTGTAGAGCTAAATCGTCAACTATCTCCACACCCATTGGTCATTTTCACCGGTGTCATCAGCCAGAAGGACATGGCTTTCTTGGCAATAAGTCAGAAAATATGGAAGAAAATATGGATACCATTAATTCCATCGCAGAAACTAGGTACTCATTAATAGAGAATGTAATTTTATGAAATACGTGTGCATGTCCACATTTGACGATACCTTAAAAGTATTTTAAGAGCTCAGGTTTTCCAAGTTTTCCAAGTCAACTTATTCATTCACTTTTTTTGTTTTTTTGTATTAGCTCCCTAGTGTACAAACAATAACAAACTCCCCAAGTTTTTTACATTTTCTGAGAAGGAATTTTGATTAAGAGAATGCTATCTTTTTTCATACGTTTTTCCTGGGGTTTGGGGAAAAGGCCATATTATGTTTATAAAGCACAGTAGTGGAAGGACTACAGAACAAGGGACGCTCCAAATGTCTATCGCACTCCTAGGAGTAGGTGAAGAGGAACTCTGTTGCCTGGCCTTTGGGCACTACAGGCCAGAGACACCCCAGTTAGAGTAGGAGGAAGTCAGGGAAAATTCTCTCCTAAAGCAGAGCTCTGTGAGGCCTTGGGGCAGTGAAAGGAAGTGGAAGAAGCCCTTTTACTTGCCAACTAAAATAGGCCTGACCTGAAAGAGGCCTGAGAGGGCTCTTTGGGGCCAGGCCAGCCTAGACCAACCAACATGTCTGCTCATCTGTCTTCCATCTCCTCTCATCTTAACATCCCTTTCTTGGCTGAGGGTATAGGGGCTTTTCTCAGTTGTAGGCTCAGGCTTTCAGCCAATTCCTGTCCTGCCTGGGGAGGTTTCTAACAACTGTTCTAAAAGAATGGTTGGAAGAGGAGGCTTAGCCAAGCAGGGCAAGGCCCACGGTGCCTGTTTGCCTAGTGGCACAGTGAAGACAGATGGGAGGAAGGTGTGCCTGGAGCCCAGGTTCTGGCACTGGATTGGACTCTAGGTCTCTCTGGTCTTTGTTCCGCACAGAGAGATGGCCACCCACTTGCCTCCGTCAGCAGTTGGAAAGGGAGAAGTACGGACATGCCTGGAGTCCGGCAGCCTTTATGTGTATCTTATTGCTGGAAAGACTGTTTAGGGTGCTCCTGTGCAGCAATGTGAGAACAGGACTTTACCCCCTCTAGAAGCTTACAAGGGGAGCCAACAGTTTCCCCTTTGTCACTTAACCTTTGAAATGTACCAATTTCTTTTCTAGTTTTACTCAGAGTTTTAAAATATTTGTTAGGGTGGTAACTTGAGGCTACATCTGGCTGGGAACAAAAGCCTTTGACAAAATTTATTCAAGTTTCTCTAAGTTAGAATCTCCCCCAGACTTAGAACTCCGTATACTCTCAGAGTGCTCTCCTCATCTTAGATACATCAAGTTCTTGGTGCTCCTAACTCCATGGCATTCCTCTTGAGCACTCCTGACCCTGGTGCCAGGCTCTGTGCCCACAACCATGGACTAAGCCCACTTTTCAGTCCTGACCTACCTTGGTCCTAGTTTTCATCTACTCAGCCAGTGTCCACAGAGGTACAACACAGATTGCCTCACAGAATACTATGTGATCTATTCATGGTTCTGTACAATGTTTCTATATTGTCCCCGTGTCCTGTTTACATACTATAGGCATGTGTCTGTGTCTGTGACTATAAAGGAAAAACTCAGTTCTATGTTTTCCACATAGAGAAAAGCTTAGTTCTTCCCTCCTGTGTTTCTCCCTTGAGTCTCCTTTACTACTCATATGAAACATTTCATTTCTGACACTTCTGGTCACCAAATGTGTGGATGTTTTTCCCCACATCAAGCAATTCCCTGTGACACCAGCCGGATGTCCTACAGTTTGACTCAATTCTGACCTGTTAACCCGCAGATAGCGTCAGATCCCACAGGTAAAGGGCTTAGTTCCACGAGACCCTCCCTCCAGTCGGGACACCAGCCACCTGCTTGTCAGCCTAGACTTCTGACCAACTGCTGTAGATGGGAGGTTCCCTTGACCCCCTCCTCAAGTTTGCTGAATTGCTCCAAGGGCTCCCAGAATTCAGGAGACAGCTTACTAGATGTCAGGTTTATTAGAAAAGGCCATGACTCAGGAGCATCCAGGTGGAAGATGCATGACGCAAAGTACAGGGAAAAGGACATGAAGGAGCTTCCGTGCTCCTCCTAGGCACACCACTCTCTATCTCCATGTGTTCACCAAACCCCGTACTCTGGGGATTTTATGGAAACTTCATCACCTGGGCATGATGGATCATTAACTCTGTTTTCAGCTTTTCTCCTTTCTCACCATTTCAAGAGAATGGGTGATGGGGCTGAAAATTCCAAACTTCTAATCATGGCTTGATCTTTCCAGTGACCAGTTCTGATCCGGGAGCCTACCTTGGGTCACCTCATTAGAACAAAAGATACTCCTGCCACCCAGGAAATTACATGGGTTTGAGGAGATCTGTGTCAAGAACAGAGGTCAAAGGCTAATATTAGGACAAGAGATGCTCCTAGTATCCTCATCACTTAACAGATCACAAGGGTTTTAGAAGCCGTATGCCAACAACCAGGGCCAGAGACCAATATATATCGTCTCAGTATATCTCATGGTAGCAACTGAGTAACTTGGGCAAAGTCAATGCAGCAAGTCGTGAAACTGGTTCTTGAACCCACACCTTTTAGCCTCAAAGGTTATATGGTTGCATATGTGCCACTGGACTGCATCCACCTTTAATTGTTCATTGTTGAATTCTAAGCTTCTGGAATGGTGCTTGGCACATGGAAGGCATTTGATAGGTATTCACTAAATTAATAAGTGACCAGTTATTATGATAGTCTTGTGTTTTGCCTCAGTCTCAGGCCTGCCTCTGAGAGCTAAATGTTGGCCTATACTGCAGTCTTAGCAGCATTGCAGTGCTTGTGGCAAATATGACTTGGCCTTCTACTGATTGCTCATTTATTTTCATAGTTGCATTACAGTCTTTAGCTATTCTTTCTCTTACTACATTTTTATCTTTATTTTTCAAATCTACTATTAGGTGATAGTAAAGTGATAGGGGTTTCTGAAACCCAGTTTGTCTTGTTTGATTAATCCCCGGGGTGGGGTTTGAATGTTTTCTAGCTTTTGGATCTCTTCATCCAGTGGGATTGGTCAACCTACCTTGCTGACTATGGTCAGCCCAACTGCAAGTACCTGCGAGTAAACCCAGTGACGGCTCTGACCCTGCTTGAGAAGTGAGTACCCAGTCCAGTGGTCTCTGTTGGGAGGTGGGGGAAAGGGCATGGGAGTCAGGGTCAGGGATAATTTTCTCTTTGAAAATACCTTCAAATCTTCAAAAGATAGCAGAGAGGCCCTGTTCTGGAAGTTGTCATAAGTGCTCCCAGTAAGCTCCACCACAGGATTTGGGAGGCTGGCCACCTTCTTGTAGGCTCTTAATTCCTGAGCGCCAACAAGCAACATCTCTTTGACTAGAACTGGCAAGAGAAGAAAGGAAGATGCCTTAAGTTTGGGTTCAGGCTGCCTGGTGAGCAGAGTGAGACTCGCCCCACTCAGCCCCACAGAAGATGGCTTCTGTGGTTTCTAGCAGAGAAGTTCCCTGAATTCTCGAAACCTTCACCAGCACCCCCTCCTCCCATTCCCTGCCAGGTTGAGCCTTGTTGTGCCAACTGTCCCAAGAAAGCTATGTTGGACAAGGTGTCTCACTCTCACTTTGGGCAGCCACTGGCCAGCACAGGTGCTACCACTGAGATTGAGTTGGCCAGCTCCGGACCATCTCATGGCTCGCCAGTATAACACACAGATGCTGGGATCTGTTATGCAGCCCCTAGCTCTGTTCTGGCTTTTCCTAACCTAGTTGAGAGCTGGCAGGCCAGAAACCAAGGCAGCTTGGAAAAAGGGCAGCTTTTTCTTGTCATCACACCTGTTAGTTCCCAGCTTCTTAGAAGAGTACCCCGCACCTAAGCAGCACAGCAAGTACATTTATGGCCGTATATGAACTTAGATACATGGATTGGCATCTAGGAGATCAGAGTTGAACCTCAAGCAGAAGGAAAGGCTTAGGTGTGTCCTCCCTACTAGGCAATTAAAAAGGGGGAAGGAGAGAGAGGGAAAGTAGGCAAGAGCAGGATGCAGAGGAGTGTGTTTGGAGCCAAGAATCTCAGAGCCCAGGGTGTACTTTTCTGCAGCCATGACAGACTAATGTTTCCATTTTAACTTTGTTTCCCATTATCCTCTCTCCCAATGACCTTCCTCCCTAGGATATCTAGAGAGTAAGTATATTATCCACTTGGGCCTTTTCCACCACTTTGAGGCGAGTCCTTCTGGTTTCCTCACTGACACTAATGACTACACTAAATCCCTACCCTGTGAGGTGTCTCCACCCTGACATACTAATCTACTAAACTGGCCTGGTGCCAACTGGCTGGCTATCTCCTCTGTCCTTGGTTCTTAGAGTGACCATTGACCTCCCAATTCCTATGGGGCTGGAGCTGGTGGCAGGGACTATTCCCCCCGTGGGTGCCAGGTAAAAGATTGTTCCCACTCAGCTTCCTGGCACAGTCTATGCCCTTGCTGGTGCGAGGCTTGAATGTCAGCCCTGACAGAAGGGAGCTCCTCGGCAGTCTCCCCCACTTCCTGGTGGTGAAGCCCATGGTGTTATGATCTGGAACCCCTGTCTACTGTGGAAGACTTTTTATTGGAGGCAAGGCCTAATCCCAACTGAAATGAATGTCCCTCATTGCAGGCCTCTCAGCTGGTGTTTAGATGTCAGCCCAAACAGGCTGTGGGATTCCCTTCTATTTCCTTCTCTCAACAGTCCTTGACTTGTCTGTTCCTAAGAATCTCTAGATCTGAGAGAGAGTGCCTCATCCACTTTCTGTAGATCAACAATAGGCTAAAAGAATCAGCCTCTCTATAGCATTCTGAAGGCCTGAAAGTAACATAGCCATGTGCTTGTCCCTAGCAATCATCAGAGTTTAAAAGCTTCCTCCCAAACACAGTTGGGCTAGAGGCCACCCAGATCACTAACATTCCTATTTCCCAGCCTCATAGGAATCAGTCCTCTTACCTGACCCTTTCCTGCTTTCCCCACAGCCAGATATACCACAGAGCTTGACAATCTCTCCTTTTCAACCTGGCATTTCTTGGCAGGGTGAGACGTAAAAAGACCCAAAGACATGCTCAGGACATTCAGGAAAGAGAAGAGGTACCTATGTCATTGAGAGGTGGCCATAGCCAAAGTAGATCAGAATCCCAGGAGGGGAGGGGAGAAGGGCTACCCTTTGGACTGGGAGCATTCCAAGGCACACACTGGCACACCACCATCAGCCATCAGGGCACATGAGTTTATCTTTTGAGTAATCCCAACTCTAGGCCTTAATGGTCAAGAACTCCTAGCCTCTGAGGCTCAGAGAGCACCCTCTTCCTCCCTCTCTCCTACCTTATTACAGGAGCTGCCTTATGGGAGTTGAAAGCCAGTTCTGGCTCCCCGTCTCTGGGCAGCTTAGAGGAGTCATGAAATTAATGATCACATAGGACCTTAAAACGACCACCCTTTACGTGAAGGGAGTGTTTTTTCTTCCTTCCTCCTTTCTTTCTTTTTTGTTTTATGTTGTTTTTGTTTAGATTCATAGCATATTCAGCAAAGGAAAGGGAGTCCTCTGGGATAAATAAATAAATTTTTAAAAATAAATAAATAAAGCCAGGCAAGTTCCACAAACATAATTGTGCAATTAATGTGCAAGGGATCAAATACAGTGATCACCATAGCCTCGAGGATCCTGTGCTTTCTTATCAACCAACCTCTGTCACCTCTCCTTCTTCCTCACCTCCAAGCATAGACCTGCACATGTGGGTGGTTGTACCCAATATTCAGTGTTCTGAGTTTGCTTAAGGAATTCCAACCTGCAAGCCCTTAAGCTTAGATCTGAGAGAAAAGTCTCAACTCATTTATGGCTGTTAATGTCAGCCCCAACCACACAGTTTTGATGCTTATCAGAATATCCTGAATATAAATGCCCTTGTAGCATCTCTAGCCTTTTAACCCATTGGCCTCAAATCTGCCCCTGTGCACAAGGGCCACCCCATAGGGGAAAAAAATGGACCAGGATTGGCTGAAGGCCCCTGGGAAGTTTACCTGGAGGTAGATTACCAGGGTTAACAGGTTCTTTCCCCCCAGCCCTTCTTCAGACCTGTCTCCGTGCAGCCCAGGGAACTGTGAAGTCAGAGAGCCAGCCAGGCTCCTGAGGGATGGTGGTGAAGACTACCTATACCAACCCCAAGAAGTTGGTCTGGGTGGTGTTCTTAATTCTCTAACACCAGAACTAGCTGTGGCCTGGAGGTCCAGTATGCAGAGGCTGAGGCCAGAGTTAACAGGCAGATGTCAGAGGTTATGAACTCTGCAGGGATTAGTACCTTCCCACACTCTATCACAATGGCTCACTCAGACTTGGGTGTTTCTGTGAAGCCCCAGCCTGGTCTTGACTTTATCCATGCTTCCTGGTTGTCTTTCCATCTGACCACAACCGTTGGCCAGAACTATCCATGGCTTGTGCTCTAAGAATATGCCATCTCTGGAGCTTTAGCAGGACTTGGTAATAGAAAGCTCTGCAGAAGTCAAAGGTCTGATGGTATGGACAGCCCTCAAGTTCTCAGGGGCTTCTCTTGCCTAAAGTTCTGGCTCCAGTGAAAGGACGGTCCCCTGCTCTCCTCAGCACCATGGACTCAGCCACCACCTCTGGATCTTTGTCCCTACTCTGGGACCAAAGAGATCAATTGAGCCTTTAGTTTTGTTAGGGATGGAAGAGAGTAACCAGCTGCTGAAGTTTAGAAAGACACAGTGGCTTTCAGTTATTCATTTCCTCTTGGAATTGCTAGTTGAGAGGATTTTTCTGCTTTATCTTTCAAATACAAGCTTTAAGATCCCAGCAGGATTTCATAAGCTCATGAGATGATAAGTGGATCCTAGATATTCTAAGAGCCTATTGACCATCAGGGCTTTAGCATGCTCCACATAACTGTAACAGGTGCATACCTGGAGATAGAAAGTAAGGAAATAGGTAGGGTGGGTCTGGATGATAGGGGGTCAGCCCCTCCAGAGCTGGCTTTTGACTATCTTCCAAAGGTGAAAGCAGGACAGCTTTCCAAATAGTAGGTAAGTACAGGCCCACAATGGAAATATTCCAGACTCTCTCAGCTCTGAGTGGAGGCGAAGATGCACTGTGCCATTCTGCCTCCTGCCAGTTTTTCTTCCACCATCATCTCCTCAAACACTTTGCTCTCTCTCTTTCTTTCTCCGTTTAGGATGAAGGACACCAGCCGCAAGAACAACATGTTTGCACAGTTTCGGAAAAATGAGCGAGACAAGCAGAAATTGATCGACACTGTGGCCAAGCAGCTCCGGGGACTCATCAGCAGCCACCACTCATGAAGGCTGGCCTCCAGCCCACAGAGGCCACCCATGACAGCCCCATAGTCCAGGACCCAGCCCTGGCTGCCCTGCATTTGTGCATTCTTCTTCAAAGAGAGCAAATGTATTTTTTTAATAACATATGTACAGTATTCACATAATCTTTCCCTATAGTAAAAGAGGCACAAGGAAAAGCAAGTACGTGAGAGGTTGCTAGGCTGGGATTTAGGGGAAGTTACACTGCACTATCTGTATTAGCCTAGAGATGGTGGTATCACCAGTCCCAGGATGGTGAACCACCTTTCATCATGGCTCTAGGTCTGGGGCTCAGGAATGACACAAACGAAATGGGTACTTGGCTCTGGGAGGTAAGGTGAGTAGGCAAAAAGAGAATAAATATTTCCTGTTCACTCCCTGGTGCCCCATTCACCACATAGGTGAGGTTGGCTCTTCCTGATACAAGGAGGGGACCTGGAAAACATCACTGCTTAGGGTATGAAAGAGCAGCACACAGTTCTAGAGGTTCTTGCCTCTTCAGTCCACCAACTTTCACTGGCTGTGGAACAAGCATGGCATGTGGCCAGAGGACACCTTCACTCCAATCCCCCAAGGTTGGGAGTTTGTTTAGCCCAGATCTGACCTGATGCTTTTACTGCTAATTGTTCTGGGGCAAGACAGAGCTGAGTATACAGTGGTAATAATTGGACTCCATGACTAACTGCAGGTTGCGCCACACTAGGAGGAGTTTTATTGGCTCTTGAAAGCCAGTGTGAATGGAATCAGAGCCTTGGTCCCTTCCCTGTTCATCTCGTTGTCTTCTTTTCAGGGTCAGGGCACTTGGTTCAGAGCACAGATCAACAGTTATTTCTGGAGCTCTTCACAGAGAGTCTCAGACTTGACCTCCTTCAGTAGTGTCATTGGGATAAGTCAGATTCTAGAAGCCTGAAAATGGCCCTTGCTTTACCCTGAGGTAAAACCTGAAGATTACTTGGGAGTGTTCCTTGTATCTTAAAACCAGCTCTCTGGCCACCATCTTTAAAAGAATATTATCAGCTCTGTGCTGTAGGGGCAGCTGCTGCTAGACAGGATGCCTGTGGGGATGAGGCCACTGTCACCCTGAAGTAGACGTGGCCAATCATGGCTAGTAGTTTGTCACTAGTGGCCCAGCTCTCCCTTACTAAGTCATATGCTAGATATGAAGCTCTTACGGAAGCCAAAACCTTTCCATCCTCTCTTGAGACCCCCATAGCCATCTTTTGGCCCCATCTGTAAACCAATCCCACACATTCTGGAGCTTGCCGGGGGAGTCTGGACTGTAGCTTGGAGGCTGTGTCCACTGTCCCAGATGGGCTCCTGACATTAGTGCAAGGGCTTTGCTGTGAGGTCAGTCAGAGGAACCTGCACTTTAAAACTCTCCAGGCAGGTGCTCCCGTGGCTATGGACAAGAGTATAATTGTGCATCCCCAAACAATGACAAATAAGCCACACAGGCATTTCCAGCTTGGATTAGTGGGAGGAGTAACTCATCAAACAGAATTCCTCGCTATGTTTGTCAGCTACTGAGTTGCTTCTAGGGAGGGCAGTGCTTCCTTTTTCATTTCCCACCCCAACCACCCGTAGCCTACCCGACTTGCAAACCAAGGGAAAGAGGTTATGCACGCAGACATGAACCTTCCACAAAGCTGAAGAGGCCAGGCTGCCTGGAAGCTCTGAAAAAGCTTTTTAAGGCTTACCTTGAGTCCCAGGTGGTTGACCCGGAGTCTCAGGAGGAAGGAGGGTCAGGGATGAATGCTGCCACCCAGAATTTCAAAGGCAATGGGGCGTGGGGGACCCATTGGAATAAGACCCAAGATGCAATTGCCCGAGGCCTGGACTTGATTGAGAGAGAGCAAAAAATGATTACACTAATCTGAAGTCCTGTTGCTTAAGAAGGGCCCAACACACACTCCTTCACTGGTCCCCAGTTTGCAGCCAGACACTTTCAGCTCTGAGTACTGAGACTGGGATGTGAGACAAAGAGAACCTTAAGCATGTCACAGTTTTTGTCTTTTCTGAGTCATCGTTGCTCATCTGGTCTCAAGCCTGTACCCCAGAAAGATGGCTGTAGGACAAGCGAACAGGGTGGAGGAATGGGAATGCCTCTGCACCTCACACACAGAAGTCCCAAGCTCAGGGGAGGACCCTTTGGTAGATCTTGTCCCTCTCAGTCTCCTTGCAGTCTTCTCTGAGGAAAGCAACATGCTGCTACTGAGTTGTCTATAGAGATGCCCTCTTGTTGTGCAAGTGGAGGTCAACAATCCCAGAGCAGCAATGTCCAAGTGGCTTGAATTGGTGAAGTAGGATTTTTGAGTTTTTCTCCGGGCTCTAGGTGGGCCAGCCCTTGACAGGACTTGTGCACATGTGCCCATGCCCCTCAGACCCCTAAGATCTAGCCTCAAATGCCCAGAGATGTGGAAGAGCCCTGGCAGGTCTCAGTAAGAGAACAAGAACACCCATGGCTAGAAGCCTGCTGGCCTTAGAGTTAGTGTGACACTTACCCAAGTTTTTGGGGAAATCAGGCCCGTGTTTCTAAAGGGACATTCTGGTTTGGGACCCTAGCGAGTTTCAGTCATCGTGTAGGCAGCTTGGATAGTTTCAACATTCATAGGAAATCTCTCTGAGTGGACCATGAATGAAGCTGTTGGGGGTGAGGAAGAACAGGACCTGGAAATTGGAACCAGCAGAGTCCCTGTTGACAAGAGGAGTGTCCAGCTTCCAAGGAGTATTCCCCGGTGTTTCTATTATTTACCAGGCCTAACGGTCTCTCAGGCCTCAAAGGCAGCCTAGCTTCACTGCATACTTGACAAGTGCTTTCTGAGCGAGCCCCAGACCCAGGGCCCTTTATCCCCAAGTTTGGCGATGGCCATGACTTTCCTCATAAAGCCTCTCTACACTCCCTGGGGCCTGCTACAGAGGTGCCTCTACCTTAGCCTCCCTTCTCCCAGGACCCTGTTCCTGGCTGCTTCAACTGCCTCTTTTTTTTTCCTTTGCCTGCATTCAAAATTACTTTTCACTAATGTGTTGGAAATGGCCTTTTTTATTTTGCACAAATAGTTGTACATTTATGGAGGAAATTTAAGAGAGTCCATTTTGAACTCTAAAGGGAACTTTATTCTTTAAGACTCACTAGTAAAGCTACTGATGCAGATGGGCCTCGTGGTTAGTGGGAACCTCCCGTGTGGAAAGAGCATGTTTATTCCTCCTGTACATTTTCCTCTCTTAACTGCTATTAAACAAGGAAGCCTATGTACCTGTTTCAAAAGCCACGGTGTTGTCTCATGGTCTTTTGGTTCTTCCGCCCCTTTCACACAGCACAGCTCTGGTTGGCGAACTGGATAACAGCCATTGCAACCCCTCGACTGGACTGAGGACTAGAGCAGGCTGGGGCCTGCTAGGGGGAGAAAGCCTACCTGCCAGACCAGGCAAGGAGCCCTTGGAGACATCCCAAAGCACTGGGTTGGGTTTTCCTGTCTGTACGGTTAACACAGGTGTCATCACCATCAGGAGGAACTTCTGGAATGCCTGGTTTAGGTGGCACACGCTGGGCTAGGCATCCTGAAGCCTCGTGTGTAGTGAACGCCAGGCCTGCAACGGAAAGGTCCTAGTCTAAACGGAAAGATGGAGCATTATCCAGAGCAAAGCCAGGCTGGGGGAAGGGGAAAGATGAGCCCTACTTTAGAACTCAGTGTGGGAGAGGACAGGCACCATGGCCTGCTACAGGAGTGAATGGGTCTGGTCGGGAAGATGGCATAGAGAAAGCAGGATGCTAATTAGCTCAGCCTTAAAGGAGTGAAATTCAGATTGTGGTAACTGTGGGAAGATGTGAGGCACAGACCACGTGAGAGTGAAAAGTTGACTGGAATCTGGCATAGACTGGGAGGAGAAGTGCAGAGCCCAGTAGGCACACCAAAACCATGGGGATGAAGGCCAGAAATGGCAGAACAGCACCTGGCCTGCTTGCACCCTCGGCTGGTGCAGAAGCCATGAGAAGAGGATGGAAAAAATGTCTTCAATAACAAGTCTGACTACTGCAACCGGGTTTCAGTCCCTGCTCTGCCACTCACCAGCTGGCTGACCTCGACCAATTATCTCCCTAAATCTCATAATCCCCTCATCAGTGGCACAGAGTAGTAGTCCTGATTTATCAGGGTGGTTGTGAAGGGTGAACGAGCTTTGGATGGTCAAAATGCTTAGCCAGTACCTAGCCATAGCATGTGCAAGGTTTAAGCTCCCCCCACCAACCCATTCCAAAACATCTCTCATGGCTGAGCACTGGACACAAATGTCCAGAGCTTCTCTACCTCCTGGCTTCCCCTCCCCAAGCCCAGAACAGGGTTAATGGTAGCAAGGCCTCTCGAGCTCCTGTATGTGAAACAGGTACAAGCCCTTCAAATCAGCCAATGGCTCACAGTAGAGCCAGTCCTTCAGATGGACTCTTCCTGTCAGTACCACCTAGAACATCCTCTGCTCTCTCTTAGATGCCAAAACTTCTACCTCCTAATAGAATTTAAAAATCCTTAACCACAGGTCCATGAACCCTTGGACCATGTGTGTGTGTGTGAGTGTGCATGTGGACATGTGTGCGCCAGCTTGCATTCACACATTTTCCTGGGTAGAAAGTACATGGCTTTCATCAATGTCTAAGAAAGATTCAGGACTAAAATACTGAATGATAACCAAATCCCTTTGGAAATACAGATCTGAGGCAAAGCCAGAGGCTCTGAGAACTTACCTCCTCTCTCTGTCTCATGTAATTCTGGCAAATTTCCCAAGACCTACAGCTTTGCCACCCACCTTTTCCAGGAGCCCCCATGTGATCCCCAGATCATACCTAAAAACCAGTACAGTCACCACTCCTAGCTTTCTCTACCCAGCCAGGTTAGGGTACTGATATGGGCATGAAGACCCTGATTTCTGAGGATACAGACAATTCCAGCCAGTTGGGGAGACTGAACAAAATGGTCCAATACAGACATGGGCCCTCAAAGCCAGGCCGAACCTGATTCCTTCCAGAACACTTCCTGCAGCTTCTGATCACTGACCGGTGCAGGGGCTCAGCCAAGACCTTACCCAGAGAGGAATAGCAGCCCTGATGGGGTGCCTGGAGCCGGGTGGGAGAAGGGGGACCTGAGAGGGATATGAAGCAGTCAGCAGCTTGCCCCTTTTCTTACAGCGAGGCTTATCTGCTCCCCAGGTAGATGAGGACAGGGACTAGCTAGTGGGAGAGAAAGTGCCAGACCCTTTCCCCAGAGGCCTCAATTTTAAATTTAATGGGCATTGTTTGCCGGGAATGAGACAGCCTCACAGCCCAAGGGACCAGAAGACAAAAGCTCTTGAGGAAGTGCAAGGAGGAGGAGGAGGAGAGAAGTGGGGGCCAGGGCATTGTGTGGGAGAGCCACCACTCTATCTGTTTCAATCACTGCTGGGGTTAGGGTTACCCTGCACAAGGGGGCCCCATCTGCTCTGTGGGGTCTGTGACATCAGCCATTGTGATGGTAATGGAGGGGCCTCTCAGCCAGGGGGGGCTCCCCTTCACCAGCCAGCCCACATCAACTCCCAGAGAGGATTGAAGCTCCTGTTCCCTCAGGGTGGGGGCAGGATGTGGGCCAGGACCGGAACCAAGACAACAGGCCCCCTCCTAATCTGAACCCACTGCTCAGTGTTATCTTCCAAGCCCAAGCTATGACCTTCCTCTCTCCAGAGCTCCAGAAAAGGAATGGAATCTGAACATTGAGACGCTTTTCTGGCCTAAACAATCCTTTCATTCTCTAGGCTCAATGATGGGTCTATTTCCTCCTGTAAATGGGTCTCGTAATCTTCAACTTTTACCTTTGCTTCTAAGGGTAATTAATTGGATCTCCCTCTTGTTCTCCCTACACACTCCCCTCTCTGTTACAAGGCTCAGGTTCACCCGAGTGGATGGCTTTTCTTTCTTTCTATTCCACGGAGTGCTCATTTTTAAAGCTGATGGAGTAAGGCCTTGCCCTCTCCAGTGAACCTCTTCTCCAGAGAAGCCTGCTGGGGAAACACCACTTCCGCAGGCCTAGGAAAGCTGCTCTGCCCAGCCGAGGGCTTTTCAGATAGTGAGGCCTGAGCCGCCATTTCACTTTTTCTTCCCAGGTAGGTTTCCAAGGTTTTAGGGAAGGAGTTTTCGGGGTGTCATTCTCAGGGGCAAAGTGAAAGGTTAACTGATGATCTGGACCCTGGGGACCCAAGGAGGCAAAGATGGGCACAGGAGAAGTAAGATCAAAGCATCAGAGAGCTTCCTTTTTCCCCACAGGCCGAGAAATAAAGGGTAAGGCCTGAGGCGCAGGGCAGCACGAGGGCATCAGGTGAGGAGTGAGACTAGATCCCTCGTTGTCATTGTCAGGGCAGCAGGAGGAGAGAGGCTGCTCTGGGGACGCAGGTCATGGAGGCAGTAAGCTGAGCTCCAGAGACACTGACGATTTCTAGTAACTGTGGTCTTGTCTGGCATTTCGGCTCTTTGAAGTCAGGGATGACCTTCTACACTTGTGTGCATCCTTGGCAGCACTTTACCCCGCCAATGGCATCTGGGCGGTCGTGACCAAAGGAGTCACTCTTGGAGCGGGGACAGTTGCTACCAAGGGAGGGGGTCTGGGCAGTCGTGACCAAAGGAGTCACTCTTGGAGTGGGGACAGTTGCTACCAAGGGAGGGGGCCTGGAAAGGAGCACTAGCACTCCCTGCTAGGAGGACTATCTTTTAGCTGACAGGATTTAGGAAGGGTATTGAGAATAAAAAGCGAACTAACTTTTAGTCAGTTTTGTTGTGGTTTTAACGTTGTCTACAAGCATGTATGAGCCCACTCCTGGTACACTGTGGAGTAGGGAACAGGTGGGAAACAGAGTGAGTCAGGTGAGAGACCAAAACAGCCCTGTAATCCCTGGCAGGCCATGCATCCCGGCAGGGGTGGGGTTGGGGGTGAAGGCAGGTGTGCGAGGATATGTGGATGTGGGCATCTAAAAGAATTCAGACCTCCCCGCCATGGAGCCCTGATCCCATTGCCCACATAGAACCGCTAGAAATTCCCACTTACTGGAATATGTATATACTTTTTTCACATGCAAAAAACACACAACCATAGTATATTATGTTACAGGTTTCTTTCCCACTTAATATGTTTTGGACATCTTTCATGACAATATAATAGGATTTCTTCCTTTATAAAGCCTTTGAATACTTCCATTGCATTGATGTCTCTGGAGTTTATTTAATTCTGAACTGGTGAATATCTGGGATGTTCCTGGTGTTTCATTATTGTGAATAGTATTGCAAGACGTTTGTGTACACCCTTGCCTTCTTGCATAGTTATTTCTGTAGTATGAAGTTTCAGCAGTGACACTGGTTGGTTAAAGATCAAAAGTATTATAAACGCTAAGAGAAGCTGTATACTACTCTTTTGAAAATCACCAATTTACACTGTCTCCAATAGGATGTGAGTCTGTTCCTCTATATATCCTCAGCCCTAAGTAACATCAATATTTTTCATCCTTGCCAATCTTATAAGTAAAGAATGATTTCCCTTTGTTTGATGTAAATTAATTGACAGGGAGCTTAAGCATCCATGTGTATTAGTCATTAGCATTTCCACCTATATGAAGCAGCTATCCATATAGTCTGCCTTTTCAAAAAAAAAGGGTTGTTTTCCTTTTTGTGTTTATTTGCAGTTCTTTGCATTTTAGGGATTTAAATTATTTGTCATTTGCATTTGCAGATATTTTCCTCAGTTTGTCTTTTGTGTTTGTTCATGGTCCATATCATTTAGAACTCCTTATTCTGCAAGTAACATAAAACCTAACTCAGAAAAGGAGATTTGTTGGCTGAAAGTCCAAAGGTAGTTCAGAGTTGGTTTGATTTGATGACTAACAACTGTCAGGGCCTTGTTTCTTTCCCTTCTGTTCCCCCTGCCTTTTATAGAGGCAAAGCTACCCTAAAGCTCAGTTCCCTGCTGGTGGCTGACGAGCTGTCATTCTTCCACCGCCACACTACGATGTGCGGAAACTGACTTTCAAAGGCCCTCTGAGAGAGTAAGGCCCCTTCTGACCCGTAGCCTCCAATATTTAGAGGCTTAAATTGGATTATGTGCCGTTCTTTTTGACAAGGACCATGCCGTGGGGTTACTGCTGAGACACGGGTTACTTGAACTCATCACTGTGGCAAGGCCAATGGAACCACTCTGGTAGAATAAAACAATCAGTTCTGGGACTCTGGAGTAAAGAGGTGTTACTATTCACTCCCAAACAAACC